AGATGTGAGATGTCTGGGAATCTATCTATACCCCTCATCCACAGGAGAATTGAGTACTTGGTTTACTACCTTATTCTTCCAAATGCCATTCTTTTTTTTTTTTTTTTTTATTCTTTAACTTCTTTATTGTTTGCTGTATTAAACATACATTCTCACACAGACACTTTGCCATGAATAAAGCAACAAAAATAGGCAATATTGCAAGATGTGTGTCACATACAAACATCATCATGTAAGAATAGGAAGTCTGGATCCCTGTACAACAAAAATGCTGAGGAACAAATAGCATTGCATTCTGAACACACCCAAATGTGTGTAAAGATAGTACACACACAACACAGCTTACTTAGATTCATTTATGAGCGTAATTCCTTAATCATCCTTTTGTGACGCATGAATGAAGATTAAGAAATAAGAAATCTGAACTGCATTTATTTTTACAATATCAATGTTAAACTCAGGAGAAGCAACTTCATTGACCAAATGTCAAATGTTTCAAAAATAAAAAGCAACCTTAATTTTTAGTAACCCTCTAAATAGGGTCTGAAAAAAAAAGGTAGGTATTTCTCTCTTGGCATGAACAAAGAGAGCAAACAACTATCATCGAGAATGCCCACACATATGAAACCATCGTGGGAACCATGTTCTTTTCAAGCCTAAGAAACCACCAGAAATAATGAATATACCTCATGCAACAGAAGTGCAAAGTTAACCCTCCACGTTACAATTTTCAAATCCTTGCTCCTAAGACAATTTTAGTACACCTAATAAGTATAGCAGGTCATTCAGAAAAAAGAAACAAAATACATACCCAGTTTTTGCAATTCAAAAAATCTTATCATGAATAATATTCAGATATAAAATTGCACTAATTTTTTTCTAAATATGATTTATGCATTCAAGATTTCCTTAAACAAGCCAAGCCTTAGATATGATGTATACAAACTAACAGTAGTGTATGTCTCAAACAAATTCTTCCTATATTATGATATGACAGAACTGGTTTCTAAATGAAGGTTTCTGTTAAAGTTTAAGGTGTAAACACTTTAGAAGGCAACTTAGTGAAATTACTATTCACTTAAAAATAAGTATCATCTCTTAACAGGCTCCTGAATTTTCAAACTTACATGTAAAAATACATTTACATCTTAAATTTCTAGAAAAGGCACATTTTATGTAGAAAAGCAGCAAATTTTAAAACCCACCAATTTACTGAAAAAGCCATTACTTTTTATTAGAAACAATAATGCTTCTCAAGATGTTGGCAACAAGGCAGAGTATAGCACACATTTCATTCAGTGTATTCTCCCTTTAATTATATTCCAGAAGGGGGTGGAACACCTCCTTGGCTGTGGGAAGCTGACATATTTGATGGATTATGTAAGCTGGTCTCCTTGTACACAAACCAGGCATTTCCTCCCCAAAGTATCATATTCAGAAAGCCAAAGATCACGGATACATTTAGGGATCCCATACTAGTCACAGAGATAAACTGACATTGTATTTGTGGGTTGTGACAAGGCTCAAGTTCTTTGATAATACTGTGTCCGGTAGCTATTTTAATATCTGTAAGGGCTTTAGCCCAGGCCGAGGCACTCACCAACCACAGAAAAGTGGCAACAAGAGTAACAATAAAGTCAATCATGGGGAGTTTACGACTCTCCCGGTAGAGGTTCGTGTAACCAACATAGAGCAGAAGGGCAGCGATGCAGTACAAGAACACAAAGACTGCAAATGTGACATAGAACTGTGCAGAAGAGGAGTAATCACCTATGAGGACATGGTTCTTCCAGGTCACATTACACACACTGACATCTGAAGGAGTGTGAAATGATGCCTGATTCAACCTGAATGGATAACCAAAAGTAGCTGTAACTGTCTTATTGTTACCAAGTTTAGGACAACTCACTTGAATTTCTGTTTTGCCCTTAAAGCCGCCACAGGTGGCAAAAGCGAAGATGGAAGCAAACCACTCGAGGACCTTGATGAAGCCGAGCGGCTCCTTGAGCGGGTTGAGGTTGACCTGGAAGGCGGACATCCTCTGAGGGGAAAAGAAGGGGGAAAAGAGTCACGACGCGGGGCGGAGGAGGGGAGCGGCGACGCCAGAGCACCTCGGCGGCGAGAACGGGCCCAAATGCCATTCTTACCTCAATGCCTTTTGAATCCATAGCAATAGCTGACCCTAAACCATTGTTTTCTAAATATTGATCTCTTGATTTCATCTTTGATAGATTTAAAAAAAAATAAAGACTACATATTTGTAGTCTTTCTTTCTTTTCTTTTCTTTTCCTTCCTTCCTTCCTTCCTTCCTTCCTTCTTTCTTTCTTTTCTTTCTTTCTTGTCTATGTATACAGGGTTCTACCTGATTGTATTCCTGCAGACCATAAAAGGGCACCAGATCCCATTACAAATGGTTGTGAGCCACCATATGGTTGCTAGGAATTGAACTCAGGTCTTCTGGAAGAACAGTCAATGCTCTTGAACTCTAAGCCATCTCTTCAGCCCTCAACAGACTTTTTAATTTACCAAATACAAAACAGGGCATCTGGAGGCTTAGCAGATACTAATCTAGGTCCAAGGACCTCTGTCCCAATGCAGTGGACAGTATAGAGGTAAGGAGCTACAAAACATAAAGAGAAAAATGAGAAAAATCCCATTTTGAGAGTTGTTGCTAAAGAGGTAAATAGACTACCCATTATTAATTTTTTTTGTTATTTTGTCATAGCAACCAAAATGAAGCCAGAATGGGAGTTAACTATGAAGACAGCTAGGAAAACAAAATTAAACATCCAAAATGATAGGGAATGACAGAGTTGGGGAGATAAATTTGCATAGGAGGGTGAAGAAAAGCTTTCCTGTAACTGTGAAATGTTGAGGCAAGTCTTAAAAGGTGCAAAGGAATAGTGATTGTTCCAGTTGTCAACTGACATAACCTAGAATCTCCTGGGAAGAGTCTTAGTGAAGTATTGTTTAGATTAGCTTGGCCTGTGGGCTTGTCTGTGGGGGATTGTTTTGATTACCTTCATTGGTGTGGGAAGATCCAGCCCACTGTGGGTGGCACCATTCCCTGGGAGTGAACATGAATGCATTCATTTCTCTCTGCTCTTGACTGTGAATGTGATGTAACCAACTCCTTCAAGTACCTTTTTCTTTAACTGTCTTGAAATAATGTACTGTAACCTGGACTTGTGAGCTAAAATAATCCCCCCCCATTTTCTTCGAGTCATTATTAATGTTTGTGTTATTTTATCAAAGCAACAAAAATGAAACTAGGATGGGAGTTGACCATGGAGACAGCTAGGAAGACAAAACTAGACATCCAAAAGCTTTGCCAATGGGGGCAGTCAAGTCACAGAATACAAACATTCTCTAGTTTCATTAAACCTTGTTTGACCTCTGCAGCTCCACATCCGCTTACCTGTTCAAGCAGTGTATTGCTTCCTATATGTTGTTACAAATTCAACACGGCCCTCCCCAGCAGTTGTGAAGCTTTATTCTCATTGTTCAGCCATGGGTGCCAGTGCTTTCCTGTAGCAGAAGGGCCTTCCGGAGCCTTCGGACTTACTCCAAACTGGGAACTCCCTTCACTATCACTTTGGAGATTTTTCCTCTGGATTAAAAAGAAAATTCAATTCAATTTTTGTTTTTAAAATTTCATACAAATGTATGTGGTGCATGGATTGAACACACGCCTACTGTGTCCCCCTACTCTTGTTTTTCTCACTTTTCCATATTCCTTGTTAGTCCATTTTATTGCCCCAGTCAGTTTCATTTCTATACTTCTACCTTTCTTCAGTGTGTGTGTGTGTGTGTGTGTGTGTGTTGTCTGAATGTATGCATGTATACACGTGGGTGTATGTAGAGGCCAGGTCTTTGAGTATCCTCCCTATCACTTTTCCCTTTATTCCCTTGAGAGGGTCTCTCACTGACATGAAGCTCATAGTCTTTTCAGCTTGACTGATTGGCCAACAAGCTCAAAGGATCTTCCTCCATATCAGCTGGAATTATATAAATCTGCCTGTTAGGCTGTACCTAGCTGGCTAGATTCCTGTGAGATGCTTGAGGTATCTTAGCTAGAAGATTTAGCTTGACTGACATTGTTTTACGGTCCAAGATGTGCTAAGGAGTTGGGGGAAGTGGGATAGAGCTTCAGTATTCAATGCAAATCTTTTAGCTGATGCTCAGTCTTGGTTCAATTACTGTTCCTTTTATCTAAGAGGTCAGTCTATGGATTGGTGTCACCCAGTCCACAGGTCCACCTTTTATCACCTTCAGAGCATTAGTTTTTAAAATATAATCCAAGATCACTTAAAGGGCACCGAATGATCAAAACTACTTAAAAGGTAATACCAAGGTTTCATTTGCCATATCATTCTTGTGATGATGCTTTTCTAGCCTAAGTTTTCTTTGGTTTGAGAAAGGTAGGTATTTTTCATAAAGTAAGTTATTTACATCAACACAAAGTAGGTTTTTCACCATTAATATTGGAGTGAATTAATACTTAAAAGTGATCACACAATAAACACCAATACATAGAATATATTACAATACATATAAACTACAGCCTTTTGGAGACATAGTTTTGAAGCCTTTAAATTGGCTCGAACTACAAATCTGAGGATTGTTCTAGACTCTAGAACCAAGAGAAAAATCCTGTAGAGTTTAATGGATTAGACTATGCTCAACTGGCCAAGTAACACAAGAAAGGATAATCTTCTCTTCCTTCTCTTTCATTCCTTTTCCTTCAGAAGTTCCTGATATTGGAAGTGATGGAACTGAGACAGAGCCTGTGTCCCTTAGGACATTGTTTAGCTGAGAAATCAACCTCCCTCAAAGGCCCATCCACTTTTAGAGATGCTTCCTGTTATATAAGATAATAAATCTTATTTCTTAGAGTGATTGCTAATTCAGCAGACACCTGATGGAAGCCCAGAGGAGAATATGTACAGAGGCTAGGTGAGAAGCCTTCTTGGTGGATGCTGAAGATTGAAGGTTCTAAGCTCTGGTCAACTGGCTTTGATGACAAGCTGTTTTCAGGGGGAGTGGTAGTGGCAGAGACCAGATTAAAATAGCTTCTGCCCACCCACTCCACACTCCCTTTTCTTTTCTTTTCTTTTCTTTTCTTTTCTTTTCTTTTCTTTTCTTTTCTTTTAGTTCCCTTGATCTCCCTCCATTAGCAGACCACAACTTGTCACATTGTTCTTTCTACTTTAAGTCCTTTGGTTGTGTTTAATCTTTACAACAGAACCTGGACCCCTCTGTGTAACCGGTAAGATCCTGTGTGGGCTGGGCCCTGCCATTTCTATCAGACCTCTTGTATATATCTCTTATCATTTCTTTCCTCAGCCTAGGGGCCTGTCTCAGTTTTCTGGACAGCATGAACGATAGCTTATGGCAATGCTCTTCCCCACCCCAACCCCATCCCTTAGCTAGCTACTTCTCTTCTTTAAAATGTCAGTGCACATGGGCTTTCTTCCACACATGCTCCTATCTGCTCAACCTGAGGCCAGTTTTCCATATGATATAGTCCTACTCAGCCTTTTGTTTTATTTGAGTTTGAAAAGCACATTGTCTTTCTTTGTTTCATAGCATATCTAACACTTAGTTATTGTATACACCTATGCCTAGGTAGGGTCTGTCTGGCTATACAGTAGCAAGGGTATCATACTTTTGTTCAGTTGCTGTCAGGTGGCAAAGTGGTTTCCCTCTTGACACCAGCTACCTTTTGGCTGGAGACTGGTTTCTGAAAGAATTTACTAAGTTTTAGGAACTTGGAGGCAATGCCAGAGACCACACTGACATTGGGAACTCCAGAATAATTATTTTTGAGCTGTTCCAAGAGAACCCACGAGAGACTTATTTAATAACGTTATATCTCTTCAAAATTTACTGGGCAAGTTACTGCACTAAAAGCCTGTGACTTCACATTCTGGCTTTTAATAACAGAGAATCGATAACCTGTTCCCACTCATTGACGTCTGCAGTTAAGATGTGTCCTAAGGGTCCCCAGTGGGGAGAAAAAGCAGGGACCCAATCCTTTGTATTGTCAGTCTTTTGCACTTCCATCCATTTTGGAGGGCGCGAAGTGGTGTGCTTACTGCGATTTTAATTCACACTTCCCTAATGTGTAATGAACTTGAGATTTCCAGCTCAAGGGTGGGTGTGTCTGGAAATGGACACGTCACAGGTTGGAGGCTGAGTCAGCTTGTGCTTTGACGCTGGGTGCTTGAATGTTTTTTCTCTCTTCTGGCATTTTAACAATACAAGGTGTATGCTTTGTGTCAAGACTTTTTTTTTTGGATGATTTAGTCTAGGGCAGCGGTTCTCGACCTTCTAATGCTGTGATCCTTTAATATAGTTCCTCATGTTGTGGTGACACCCCCACCATTCAATTATTTCATTGCTACTTCATAACTGTAATTTTGCTAGTGTTGTGAATTATAATGTGAATGTCTCACATGAAGGATATCTGATGTGCAAAACACAGGGGGGTTGAGGCCCACAGGTTGAGAACCTCTGGTCTAGGGCCACCTCTGAGTTGGCCTCTAGGCAAGCGTGCAGGGGAGTCCTGCTCTCTATTTAGTGGAATTTTGGTAATTTTCCTAGGGAAGAAGAAGCTATCCCTTGGGGGTGCTAAGAAAGTGCATGATATGCTCTGAGCTCTTAGCTTTGGCATATCATGCAGCTGTGTGATTCTCCCCAACACAACTTCACTGTGACCTCTAGAGGCAGGGGCGGTGCTACACCCATACTCTGTCTTGGAGGCTCAAGAAGCCCTGAGGTTTGCCTAGGACTCACAGGGTCTGGATTTAGACCCCGGTGACAATGGGATAATATGCAATCCTAACACACATTATTTCTGGAAGAGTTTGCTCTCAGGTTGCAGCTGTGTGAAGATCCCAGTTCTGTCATTGCTTGCCTATGTGACCGTGGGCAAGTTAACTTAGCTTTTTGGAACTTCCATATGATGGAGATAACAACACTTGCTCTTCAGGGATAACATCAAGCCTGACTGAAATTTCCTTGTCTATCAAATATCTGATAGAACTTCACAAAGACCTAGACATGGCCAATAAACACATGTTCAAGTTCGTCTGACGTCACTGTACATTAAAACCAT